GAAGAACAGCGACTTCGCCTCGTCAACGAGAGAAGAGCTGGCGGGAACTAAACTCAGACTGGAGTCTCAGTCGCTGCAGATCAACAACCTGCAGAAACAGGTAATGATCCTATAGCTGGGAACCACCTTGAAAGAGGTTTTTAGTTCAGATTTGGTCATTTTAAGCTCATCTACACTAATGTTCAAAAGATTTTTTTCCAGCAAGGATGTTGTAAATTGATCAAAAGTGACAGTAAAGACATATATATAATTTCTTCATGAAACAGAGTAAATGTTGAGTTATTTTTTTATTTTATTTATTATTTATAACTAATGTTCAAAAGTTCGAACTCAGTAATTTAATTTTAAGAAATTATTACTTTTATTCAGTAAGGATGCATTACATTTTTCAAAAGTGACAAAGGCATTATTTATTCATGAAAAATATAAATGTTAGTGGATATTGAGTTATTTTTAAATATACTGTATACAACTAGGAATATCCACTAACATGTACAAAAAATAAATGCAGCCTTGGTGCGCAGAAGAGCCTCTTTATTGATTGGAAGCGCTCTTGTCTGTGGCTCAGAATGCGGTTCTGGAGGCTCGTGTTCAGGAGCTGGAGCAGATGCTGGAGCGCGAGCGACAGATGAACCAGCAGCGGCTCTCGCAGAAGGAGCAGGAGATGGCAGACATGCGGCAGCAGATGCAGGAGCAGCTGGAGGAGCACCAGAACCTGCTGGACGTCAAGCTCATGCTGGACATGGAGATCAACGCCTACCGCAAGATGCTGGAGGGAGAGGAGAAGCGGTGAGCCGAACTCTGCAGCGTTTATTACACTCTAAGCTATGTGTTTGCTTGATCTTTTTATTTATTTATTTATTTCACAAAAAAGGGACAGTGTACATTAAAACCGTCATCCGTCCCTCGGGTCATTTTAACCCGAAAAAGATTTTCAAAAAGATTCTAAAAATCGTGTGTTGATCGTGTGTTGTACGGTCCAAGATTTCTTTACTTCATTCACACTTGCAAAAACATTTTTTGAGTGGATTCGAGGAGTTTAAATGGGTGCAATAAAAAAAGTAACAAAAGTGTCCCTCGCGGGTCATTTTGACCCGCATAGGAATGAAAGGAATTTACGTGAAAACTGCATTTTTCATTACATTTGATTTTTTTGATGTACAAAATCTGAGACAATCCAGTAAAGATTTATACCCATACAAAGGGCTGAGACTACAGAATATCCCTAATGCAGAAAAAACTCGCATACACACACACGCATGCACAAACACACACATGGTACACACACTTCCATAGAACACATTATAATATTTTTCATCTTTCTGCTGGGATATGTCATTTTTCCTTTTTTTTTTTTTTTTTTTTTTTCACTCAGTGACTCAATTCCAAGGCCAGCTGTTGGTTTTTGATGAAATGGAACTGAAATTGTCTTTTGTTTTGTTTTTTGGTGAAATAATGTACAAAAACTGCTTATTTGCTTATATTTTCTTTAAAAATATCCAGAATAAAAGGTCAATATAATAAAAATCACCAAAAAATAATAGAAAAACCTACATAAATATTTAGAAAAAAAATTATAAAAATGGATCAATGTAAGATTTCTGGACCAAAAATTTAATTAGTGTAATGTTTAGCCTTCGGGTCATTTTGACCCGCGAGGGACACTTTTGTTATGGGTTCGGGAGGGACGGATGAGGGTTTTAATCAACATTCATGAAAGTAAATGTACCCAAATTAGCCCAAATGCTAGTTTTCATTGGTAGTCCCTTTGCCAGATGTTATTAGGCCAAAAAACTAGAAGAAGAAAAAAAGAAACAAAATGGATAAAAAAAATGACAACGAAATTCAACCAAAAATTAAGCAACAAATTATACAAACTGACAATAAAATAAATATGTATTAAAAAAAATTAAAATAGAAAGCAGCTTAAGATATATAAACAACATTTAATGTTCACGTTGTTGGTTATGAGGAAGCCGTTTCTTAAAATGATGCTTAAATGAGTTAAATGTACATTCTCTAATTGATTGTGGTATTGAATTCCACTGATGAAAAAAACATTTGTATTTATAGTTTTATTTATATGAAAGTTTGTTTGTTTGTTTGTTTTTTGGTGATTTTAAGCTTATCTACTTTGTTCACAGGTTTTTTTTGTTTGTTAGATTTT